TGTAAAAATAAAAATAATTCCTATAAAATTTTGATTACGCGAATAGACTATGGTGTATGTTTCTTTTCCCAAAACTAAAAACAATCCTCAATAAACAGCAACTAATTTGTCAAATTTTCTTGATCACACATGTATGGGTTATCGAATTAAATTCTTTTGAGAACGGATTCTCCTGACACATTACATTGAATTTATTTCTCCCTTTGGCATTTTGTTTTAATAGTATTTAAAAAAGTTATCGCACTGATAGCTCAATAAAACTGTTATTGCAGTTTTCACGCTGATAAAGCATTAATATCCTATTTAGCCAACATTTTTTATTTAACTTTGTATTATTTCATGTCACAAATAATCTGAATCTTCCTATGGTCTTGATGAAAAAACAAATTCAGTTGTTACTGCCAAGCTGTTGACCTATTTTAAGGTCATCATCATCAGGGCAAAACAACCTTAAACGTATCTACAGACTGATACAAGTAGATTTTAATAGATAGAGTCGAATTTATTTTAAGACCAACCAAGGACTGCGATTATTCGTGAGTAAAAAACGTGGTCAATACACCTAACACTTTATTTCGTGTGAAAATAAAATATATTTTAGATAAGAAATAATATCGCTTTAACGGGTTCAAATGGGCGCGATTGTTCACCCTTTCGTTTTTGTATATATTTATAACAAATAAACATTATGAAAGGTTTTTCACAATTATTCTAACAGCTGTTCCTTAATGATTAAAATATTATAAACTGTATTTCTAAGGCGGCAGATTATTTGGGGAAATAATTGCGGAATAGTTCAGCACGCCAGTCCCAGTTTATGCATTTGTCAGTCTATCCAGATTAATAATTTCTTTATCAGGATAAAATTGACATTATTGTCCAAATATTTTAAAAGTTTCATTCGTAGCCCAGGACTCAAACAAAAGATTTTGTTTCTGAAATACGACTCTATGCTCTTTTGTTTTTACACAAAACGGCCAGGGTTGTGGCGATGATTTATTATCTTCACAGTGACAAAGCTTTATTTTCCCCGGATCGCTGGACAGCTAAATAATATTGGTTACACATAAATACACAGTTCAAAATGCGTAAATTAATCCGAACCGGGAGTAAGTAAATCTATGGGGGTACGCAAGCGCCCGCCGCCGCCTTCGGCTACGTCCTACGACCCTTGACCTGGCATGACCTCCGACCTTGTTGTTGGATAAGAACTGCTTTTGACCGATAAAACATGCATTGTCGTGCTTGTCAGAATGTTATTATTTTGGCATTAATAGAGAAAAAAATTAATGTTTCCTGAGAAGTTGCTGATGGCGGAAGACAATTTAACCATAAAAAATTAGAGAAAAGCCTGAATAAAAGCAATTAAATTTTAAAAATTCCAGGTTTCTGTTCTTTGAATATAATCCAGTTTTATTCCATAGAATTAATATTTTATTTATTCTAAACAAATTGAAAAAAAATCTGCTTAAATTCTAAACATATTCTTTCTGAACTGATTGATTCCTTGCTAAAAAAAATTTCTGGTCTTTTTCAGTTAACATTTCACCAGTTCGTAAATTAAAATATAATGTGTGGTGATTAGTGACCGTTAATCGATATTTATTTAGAAATCGTGAGATGCGGTCTGGTGTGTTGTAGGTTTCAGAAAAACATTTTCTTTATCGTGCCAACGTTTCGATCTTTATTGAGATCATCTTCAGGGCTCAAAGTGTTTGTCTTCTGTGTAGTTGTGCCATTCTTGCGTGTCGTGTTGAATTGGGAGACTCTCAACACGACACGCAAGAATGGCACAATTACACAAAAGACAAACAATTTGAGCCCTGAAGATGATCTCAATAATGATCGAAACGTTGCACGATAAAGAAAATGTTTTTCTGAAACCTACATCACACCAGACCGCATCTCACGATTTCTGAATAATTAATGTAAAATTATAAATATTCATATTTCGACGGCAAACTGTTTATTTTGATTTGTTCTTGCCCGAACTTTTCTTATCCGGGTATGCTTGCCATATTCAGTGCAATTAACGATAAATATATATGCAACAATTTTATTGTGGAAACAAATACATTTAGGATGTGGAAAAGTGAATTTATACAATGCAAAGAATCGAAATCTATGTTGATATAAACCATTTCTAAGAAATTGTTATATATAAACAATGTTTGTAAATCCCAGGCCCTGAAGATGATCTCAATAAAGATCGAAACGTTGGCACGATAAAGAAAATGTTTTTCTGAAACCTACATCACACCAGACCTCATCTCACGATTTCTAAATAAATGTTAAAATAAAATTACAAAAATAAATAAGCAGCATATACTAAAAATTCAAAAACTAACTTTATATAATGAAGTTTAATTAATTAACCTTTGAAAATCTATACAGTTGATTTGAAATATCCTAGAATGTCTAAGTTTCCGTTTTTCTTAAAACTTAATAAGTTCAATTCTTTATGCTAGTCAAGTATTCTCAGCAGTAAAGTAAAAATCTCTACTGATGACTAGCGATATGTTGAGGATATGAAAACGAAAAACCTGTTTTTTCCTGACTGGCAGCACACACGACAAAAGGGAATAATAAACGCATTAACTTCAGTCGAGAAAATCGGTCCTGTTAAAAAACAATTCAAGCCAAATTTGAACAAGATAAACTGTTTAAATCTATGTATATAGAATGTTGGTATGTGTGTTAACGATAACAACGAAAAATATTGAACCGATTTTAATGGAATTTTCACTTTGCTTTTATTAGTGCTGGGCGGTTTTAGAGAATATAAAATGGGCATGTAAATAACGGGCTTCTGAATTTACAAAAAAAGGAGAGATTTCAGGAATTTTTGGCGTCCACTTTCACATCTGTTTTCTCAGATGTCAGCTGTCCAGTCGGGCCTTCGGCACTCGGTATGATACACGTTTCCCGCGTCTTTCAAATTCTGATTTGGAGGCGCTAACAGACAATAGACCCAAAACTACAGCATATTGTTTGTAGAATAATATTAATATTCTCACTAAAATTCAAAGGAGGACAGAAGTGCCTTTCCAAATCAAATGATTGCAACTTCCAATTAAACTGGTTTTTGCTATAATGACAAACAAATCACAAGGTCAGTCATTGCTATTATGTGGATTGAATTTGGAGAATCCGTGGTTATCTCATGGACAATTTCACGTTGCATGCTCCAGGATGGAGGATTTTTTGTTTGTCGATATCCCAAATGGAATCACCAAAAACATTGTATTTCCAAGAGCATTGCAATGGATTTAACGCGTACAACAGTAATTACAATTTAATACAATGTAATCCAAAACAAAAATAATATTGCATCTGTAAATATCTAATATGATGCCAAATATTCAATTGTGTTCATTTAATTTATATACATGCTCTTATCTTGCAATAGCAATATGTATGCTCAAAATATTGTGTTAAATAACACTTTTTATTATCCCCCTGGGCAACGTTGTGTTATAAAGCTAGTTGTTAATAAAATAAAATAAAACGACTGATTAGAAATATATGAATTTTGGAAAATTTTAATCAGCTGGTTTTATTGTATTATTATTGTCATAATAATAAATGGATTTGAGTTAATATAGTAATTATGAATGTCAAAAAAAAATTTCAATAATTTGTAATTGTAATCAAAAATATCTCTTTATGGAATGGCGTTGATATAAAGACCGAAGCATTTAAATGCAGTACGAATTTAACGTATTTTTTTATAAAGATCGTATAGTTACAAAAAAGCTAGAATATTTAAGACATTAAATTCTTAATAATATTTTACTTTATATCAACATCAACGTGAAGAATTTGAAATTGCTGGTAGATATTGATATATATTGATACAACTGTAATTGTCCTTGAAGTAAGCGATAATATGGAATACAATCAAATAGTTCTTTGTCTCTTTGTTTGTCTTCGGATAAAATGAGGGAAAGTCAAACAAAAAAAAAGCCCTATACAAAAATTTGTATTTTCGGCTAATGATTATTAATATTACATGATAATTGTTGAAAGGAACATGTGTTATATCATTTAAAAAATGTGAAGAGATATTTTAATATTACAGTAATTTTCTGCTAGCAATTGCACGCTATAGATTTTCAAACAAAGCCAAAAAATGGATAAATAACAATTCATCTTTAACGTCGTTTATAAACAAAATAAACTGGTATTTTATTTACTAGTGTTCTGTACTGTATTATGGTATACTTAATTTGTTGAAAATTCCAAACTTTTATATTTTATGCTAGCATTGGGAATAAAATGTAATAAATATAAAGAAGTATGCTTATTCCTGAAGAATATTGATGACTAAATATTTTTATATTTGACTGTCTATTATCACTTGAGGATAACTGAAATTGAAAACTTTATTGCACTATCGTTGTTTCGATTGTGATTGACTACATTCTTTCGATAAATTTTAATAATAATTAAATAAATAATTAACGAAATAATAAAAAAATTGCTATAATAACTGTTTTTAACGTTGCAAGGTGGTTATTACTGGTTCTGACATTATAAGATATCTCCCAGTCGTTTTGAATTTGAAATTAAGACAGAGAAAAAAGTGGATTGCGTGATTGGACAAATTTAAAATAATTATTTAGCAGGGACGGAACGATGAGGACGGAACCAAACAGACATGGGGATAGGCCCTTCCATTCACGCTAATAAATAACATTCACACTACCCCGGAATACTTGATATTCGTCGGGGTAATTGAGGATTAGCATTGCATTCACGCTAATAAATAACATGCAAACACCACAATTTATTCCTCGGGGTAATTGGGCCCCTCAATTTACGCAAATATATGCAATCGTTCCAAAAAATATATCACATATCGCATCCAAAAAATCTATAATCAATTAAAAATATGGCCTTGAGATATAATATGTTGTTATAAAGCAAAAAGGTATGAATATTAATAATATTTTGTTAATATTTCCATATTTTAAAACTTAAATACATAAAGAACGATATTTCAAAAGAAGCTCGTTTATTGTAATGTTGACCTATCTGTGTTCCTTTTTCCCTTTTGTTTAAATGCGAAATAAAATAGCGATGTTTAAAACTCACTGTATATAACGCACGCCAACTTATGTTTGCAACGCCAACTTCGTTTCGACGCTGGTCGGGAAACCTGCATCACCCAAAACTTCCTTTACGTTTTCAGCCATAAGAGATTCTTCACTGTTGAACTCGTGCGCTTTGGTCGTTTTCGGTCCAATCAGGATCGCCCCGTCCTCGAATTTGTTCGATCCGTCGGAACACTTCTTTGATAGGCGTTTCTTCCAGCCGAACAGCTTTTTACCAGGAAGGTAGTTCCTGAGTCTCACTCGGGCCTTCGACACATTTTGAGCGATAGCGCTGAAATAGTCCCAGAGGTCCATAAGCATGTTCTTGCCCTTCGCCGGACCCTTTGATGGAACGTAGAACGTCGGGCTTTTCGCCTTACGTGAAGTCATCTACAAATTAAAAATGAAAAAAAACTTATTGCAACAAAGAAACGTCTTGTTACAACAAAAAATATTTTCTCCCCAATTTTACAGAAATATTGTAAAGAAATACAATTTCAGTGGAGGTGTCAAAATTCTAGATTTCTATTTGGATTAGGATTTTCAAGAACTAGCCAACATCAGCTGGTTCGACAATATGAGGAATAAAGTTATTTCAATTCATTTTACAATGTTTTAATATTCTTAATTAAAACAAAAACAAAATTAAAACAAAATTCATAGATATAAAACTACAAATAATTGAATAATTAAACTACCCTATTGAGAACTAGTAAATAATAATTATAAAAAATGTAAATGGCAATTAAAAAACGAACTAAAGAAATATTTTGTAACTCGTATAACAGGATTTGAATATTTCAAGTAAGGAAAATGATTGATTGATCTAAGATCTAAAAAGCTAATCTTATTAAAACGTATCAAAATCTGCAATTTGAAATCATTTTAAATTTTACATAAGATAATCGTAAATAATGTAAACCGATTATTTTTTTAATTATTTAAATAGACAAATGAACCATACAAAAAATTAACAGAATAAAATCTACTAACCTAAAACTATAATACCGCATGTTGTAAAATTGTACAAACTAATTATTAAAATGTATTTTTATCTATTGGGACTAATTGAAAATATAAACAATCGCGACTGTTATTTGAGTTGAGTTATGTTTGCAAGTTTTTAGTTATGGTATTATGAAATGGACGCCATAAATGGCCAGAACAATTTAAAGTTTCAAGGCGATACTTTTATCCATATGTAACTAATGATGCTTATTATCTAAGGTCTTGGTTGAGATGAAAAAGTTGATTTTAAATGTTAGTACGAGTTAACGCCTTTTTTTAGTTAGAATTTCAAAAATAAAATAGCATTTTTGCAGTTGTTGAAAATGTACAATATATGAAAAGACAATATGTATTGTAGATAAATCTTTAAATTTTTAATATTTTATTAAGTTAGTTGTAATTTGGTAAGAATTAATACTATTTTCATTTTATACTAGAAGTGTAAACTTTAATGAGAATAATAATCTAATCCCAAAAGAATATAGATTTTTTGTTTAAATTACATTAACTTAACTAACTTAATAATAAAAAAGATCCAATTATATTGCAGTTAAAGCCTTCTATTAAAAATAATTGCTACCCATAGACAATTTTATTGCTGCTTTCTATTGTTACAGCTGAACGTTTAGAGTTGAAGATTGTTGAAATGGAACAAATTATTTGAATTGTCCATTTATGGATTATTGTTTTTAGTTGTAAAAAAAGGTATTAGCAAATGTAAGCAATAGAAGTTGAGTAGTTGTTCAATGGTTGATTCTTTGTTATTGGTTTAAGGTTTATGAAAAGTTAAAATTTTGATACTTCCAGAAAGAAGGAAAACAAAGGAGTTACGGCTTTCCTCTGAATGTATATTATAATAATATTTACTTTTATTAGGCGGAAGAAGTATGAGCCTCCTGGATCTTTGCGTGTTCTGGGTTGTTGGACTTGTCTTTTGGCACTGTTTTCGATAATCGGCTATTCCTAGTGCTTCTGAAACAAAGAAAAAGTTAATGTAAAGATCTTCTAAGTTTTCAGTATAGAGCCTTACGCTGAGTCGAATGTCAGTTCAGCCTCTTCGTCCCTAATGGGTCTTCCTAGAACTTGCTGCGACACTCTTAGACCGAGTTTTGACAATTCGGCGACCGATACAGCGCGCGGTGGGGTCAACGGTGGCGGGGAAGACAGTCGGGTCTTTTGCTTCGGAATTTTGGTGAACGGGCTGATTTTCGTGTGTTTCGTTTTCTTTTGGGCATTTTTCAACTTCTTAGAAGTTTCGGCGCTCTCGTTTTGAGCGATCGAAGTCACCTTGAGCGATGGTCGTTTTGGTTTTGTTTTCAGCAGCTCTTCAGGGTCCTGGTGCTTCTTTTTGCCGAAAAAATGGTGCATCAGAAATAGGCACGATTGCATTCATGCCTGTAAGATAAACACGGGTTGTCAATACCGAAACACGTACATCACCCTGATAAAAATTATCAAATCAGCTGTAGCATCTGTATCTTGTCATACCGACTTACTGCCTATGAAATCACACACGTTATTTTGTAATATTACTTCTTAACAAAGTCTAAACCAAGCGTACATACGCATAAGTTAGTTTTTGTATTAGTAAATGTACAAGGTATTCCTCTATTAATATAAGGTATAACTTGCCTATATTATCTCAAAGCAGATGTCGATAATGCCTGACAAAGTCGTGTTTGTTAAAAAAGAGCGTGCAGCATGTTCTTTTCGTTTTTCAGTTTTTGGTTGTGTTTGTCTACTGTGGGTTAAATAACTTGAGTCTTGATTTAACACTGTTTAATTTTTTTTGAATCAGGTGTTTCTTTCGGCAATGTGGTTATCTCGTTTATTTCGCTAAATTTCAAATCTGTGAAAAAAAAATTCCATTGAATGATTGGTAGTTTTTCTGTTCAGCACATTTATTCCCCTGTTGTGTTTATAAAAAAAATAAAGCGTTTTTAATTCAATTTTAAAGAAAAATGTAACGAAGTCGTTTTAAGTATTATATCTTTATGCGTAAACAGTAAAAAAACAAAATTGGACCTTTTTAAAATCTAACACTTCGGATTGCTGTTATTAGAACAGAATATGAAAATCAACAGAGAACTATGATTATTCATAAGGCAATTGAATTTATTTTAGGATTTGGAAAAACATCTAGTTAAAAATAAACCAGAAGTTAAACAAGTTCAAACAATTTAAAAATCTGGCCTAATTAAATTAAAAGAAATGGTACGTAATAACCTGAAAATATACGCCCGCTTACTATTATTTATTTATTTTACCGCAACAGCATAAATTTCATAATAAGGAACTTTAAAATAAATTTATAACCTTTAAAAATACTACGCATATGTACAAAATCGGCTAATGATGCTCATACTAGACACATGTTTATTTTTATATCTAATCTGTTGTTTATCTTCTTCTGGAAAAGGGAATTACATAATACTGTATTTGTCCTATTGTATTTATATAAGTAATAAATATTTATTTAAATTTGAAAGACTTTTTTAGGAAATAATTAGACAAAATTTACCAATTTGTTCCAAATTTTACATGGTGTTCAAAAGAAATAATTAAAAACTAAATTGGTGTATGTAAATTTGACTTGACGTTGTTCGGGTTAGACGAGATGTAGGTACAAAATAAACTTGAACCCTCTTTGTTCTCTAAACCTTCTATTCAAGGTAACTTACATAAAGCGATTGGCTAGTGTCAGAATCAAATACCGGAAACTTGAAATGGGAAAAATTATTTCAAATATTCGATCGTTTCTGTACATTTTGAGACATTTGTTTTATATTTACATTATATATTTTTTAATTTTATATAAACAAAATTAGCGATAAAGGTCAATATCACGGAAGGGATTCGAACCCATGGTCAGTGGGAAAAAGGGGGGAAAATAACCGGGAACTAACAAGAAGATAAGACAGCGAAGTTAGTTACGACCACACGACCCCACCCTCTCTGTATGATCAGCGGATTTACAAAGAACGATGGTTAATGCCAGAAAAAAATTAATAGAAAATCCGCTTCAACGAAAGAAACATTTCGAAATTATAAATGTAAAAAAGACATCGAGCCCTGGCCTGCTGAGGCTGGGTCCAGAATGGAAAAGTCCATTACCAGGTGGCGCAGAGGTCATACTAAGATCACACACGGGCACCTTCTAATTGGGGTGAGACCACGTAAATGCCCGTTTTGTGGAGAGCTTATCACGTTAGAACAAATAATAACAGACTTCAAAGAACTAAATCTGAAAATAAATAAACACGTTTCGAATATATTCCATAATCTCTACCCCCGGTGTATCAAGGAATGAATTGAACATTATGATTTATATATGTTAACCTTGTAACTCAGTGGAAATAGTTTTAATAGAACTGGACATTTTTTTACGAAGGAACTGAACTCTCTTTTAATCTTTAAGTCTTGTCTGTCGTGTTGACGACTGCTGTAACACGTCAGACAAGAATGACACGGAAAACAAACACTTTGAGCCCTGAAGATGATCTCAATAAAGATCGAAACGTTAGCACGATAAAGAAAATGTTTTTCTAAAACCCACGTCACACCAGACCGCATCTTACGACCTCCAAATAATCGTTAATTAAATATTAACGCTTAAAAAATTTATTTTATGATGTTAAAAATTTCTAAGCAAAAACGTAAAATTCTGTTTTTCTAAACCATTAATGAAGGGAAAGCCTCATAAAGTTAAGCTTTTAGTGAATTTAAAAAATATGAAAATTGTATTTGGTTGAACATTTTTTGCTAAATAATTATTAAATCTGTTTGATCACTGTCAATAGTAATGATACTATTTTTTTTACTTTCATCTTTATGTTAATATTAATAAAGCAATTCGAATTGTTTTAAGGCTATTATATTTTTTGAATACCAATATCTTGAAAGCTCAATAAATTTAATTTGTTTTTAATTGTTTTTTCTTCCAAAGGTTGCTTCTTGTTAAAGAGCTTGAAGGTTACTTTTTGTGTTGTTATAAACTTAGAATCAGCTTTCTTTTTTGTAAGGTAAAGATTTTGGGCTGAAAAAAAAGCAAGGCTGCTCGAAATAAATACATCTAATAAAAAAGAAAAACAGTTGAAAGAGTTCTTAACGCCAAAAGGAAGTAACCTTCAAGATCTGAATAAACATTTCATAAAATAAATGTACAAATAACTTTGAAAAACCGGTTGATTCACTGGTCAAAATAAGCTCTGCAAATTAGGCTAATCACTTAAAAATCTTATTAATTTTCCCTCTAAATTTAGGTAATGCTTAATAGGTTTAAAAGAATATTTTATTTCTTTTAGACAAGAACAATAGATTTGGTGAATCTTGGAACACTGCATCCGTCACTAAAGTTTGAAACAAATGAAAAAATCAGTAATTTTTAGATTTTCTGATTAAAAAAAGTATACATTTAAAATCTGAACCATAATTTTTAGCTTCATTGAAAGGATCAAATCATAAATAATAATGTTTTAAGTTATTGATTTAATCAATTTAAAAAAGAAATACTTTAGGCGGTTTCTCTCTGCTAAATTCTTGTTTGTTATAGTTTTAAAATAAATTATTTATTTAATTTTTTTATTTATGATAAACAGAGCGCGTTTTATATTATTTCATAAGATAAAATGACTGCACGAAAAAATACGCGTGAAAGGTAAAAAAAGAAACAACTACTGGAGGGCCGGCGATGACCTTAGTCTGTCGGTCTCTCTTCCCACAATAGTATTATTATTTTATTATTATCAATTTTTAATGGCGTTTTAACAACTAAGGACATTTCACGCCCTAATATTTAAACCTTCTATTTTCCCTTCTGAGTGCTGTAAAGATCTGACTCCATTCACTCATATACTAATCTATCATATTGCCATCCAAAGCTTTCATTTATCCCCATTTAAACCGATTTTAAATTATAAAATTTATTCCTGTTCTTTAATTAGAATTGTGTTCCATAATTTGAACATTTCCCATTGGCTTGTATGGCCAATAATAATAATAATGTGTAGTTTTTAGTGACCGTTAGTCAATGATCATTCGGAGATCGTGAGATGCGGTCTGGTATGACGTAGGTTTTAGAAAAACATTTTCTTTATCGTGCCAACGTTTCGATCTTTATTGATATCATCTTCAAGGCTCAATAAAGATCGAAACGTTGGCACGATAAGAAAATGTTTTTCTAAAACCTACATCACACCAGATCGCATCTCACGATCGCCGAATAATAATGGAGTCAGACTAGCAACAGTCTCAGCGTATAGGCTCATCGTTGTCCTTTTATTCTTCCATTCAAATACTATAAAGACATTAATGCTACTTAACAGTAATAATAAAACAAAAACGCAATAAAATTTTTTTGGAGGGAGCTATCTTTCCTTATTTATATTCCGAGTTTGGGCATTGTAGTTTATTATCTCGCAATTTGTATTTTCTTTTATTTCATTATATATTTTCATGTTATATTGATTATTGTTCTTGTGTTTGAAAAACTAAAGTATCCTACAACTTATGCGAGTGTAAAATAATTTTTGACATATTTCAATAGAAATAATTTTCTTTTCGCATTATCATAAACCTATCCTTAATATGCAAATTAGCGCTACGTCGCCAGCAGTTTATAAATCCTTCACTAAATTTTAAAGTTTAGCTAAAAACAGACCACCGTTAGCTTCAGATTTATTGACTTTTCGGGCTGAAATAAGACACATTCCACCATGACGCGATGATGTAAGGAAACAATCAGTCTTGATAATTAACACAGGAAAAGCGGTCGGTAATTATTCCGTAATATCATTAACGGCAATTAAAAAATGATTAGTAAAATGAGTTAAAAATATATAACAGTTTCGACGACTCGGTGTTATCTTAAAGACAGAATGCGTTTGTTATAATGTACAAACGATTCTGACTCAAGTTTAAAATGTTACATAGACGAATTTTTAAATTTAAATTTTAAACTGTTTTCTTCTAACGTGATGATAATCCTGAATAAATATAGTTAACCGCTCAAAAAAATTCAAGTCATCTTGTAATCATCTTGTAGGATTATTAAATACTATATATTTTAGTTCTAAAACACGCTCAATAAAACTTTCCATATTATGTAAATTTTATAGAAGAAATAAAAAAGTTAAAAAAAGAAAAATTCTGTTTACCTTGAAGACCAATATCCTGATAACGTCCAACTCGAGAATATTTACCGAGCTATTTATACGTTTTAATCAGATCTCAGTCAACAAGATAAATTAAAATGAAAATTTTTGTCAATAATACTGGAAAGGTTTCTGCAAGTGACATCTGTTATTTGACTTCCGGTAGAGGAGCTTGAGTACTTTATAATTACTTAGCGTACGGCTTATGTATAGTAATTTAAATTGATTCTGCGACATGAAAATAGACAAAATGGGAACATTCCACGAGATGCTTATTCAGGAGTTAATTCGACTTTCGCCAATTTTCCTGGGGTGGTTGCAAATCGTTTTGCTGCCTGGGAACGACGCCTTGTTTCTCTTCCTTATTTTGTCAACCAGCCTTGAAACGCGTTCCCGGAGGTCGCGATTCGACGTTACATGTTTTATTCATGAGCCGATGGGACTTTGTTTTCTAGGCGGCAAGGAAGTCCAGAT